TCATATGGCCAACATAGTACAAGTCCCAGACCTGGTGGCTTGCTTTCTCACTCTCTCTCTCTCTCATCAAATTAAGAATAATCATGAATAGAAATAAATAAATAATTCTTTTAAAAATATTAAGTTCCAGTTCAGTATCCTAGAGTAATATAATACCTTACATCTCATACTTAAATGAGAAAAACATCGAAAACACTTGAGTCTGTTAAAAACAAAATTTAGACAAAAACATTGAAAACACTTAAGTCTGTTAAAAAAAAAAATATAAGTTTATTTAAACAAAGAGCAGGTGATTTAAATCAGGCTATCTCCCAAAAGATGGCCCAAAGACTCCAGCTAGCCACGTGGTCATAGGGTATATAAGTTGGTGGAAAGGGAAAGTGACATGTGGAGTAAAGGGAAAGTGCTGTACAAAAAAAATGGAAGTGAGTGAGTGAGGTAGAGAAATCATTGGATTGTTTACAGCTGGAGGGTAGGCTGTACAAACACCCTAAAAGATGGGCTTTCTGCGATTGATGGAACTGTGACTAGTATGATTGCCTGTAACTTAGTTACCAGCTCAGGAAAGCAGCCTACTATGTATAATTTCTGCTTATCCATAAGAATCCAAATGTGGGAGTACAGCAGCCACTTTAGGCCAAAACAGTTTAGTTTAACAAATCTAAACATATTTTCATTTAACTATAATAGTATATTTCCGTTCTTCCTATTGAACTTGCTACTTTTTTCTTGGCGCTGAAGTTTTACATAACATTCATTCTTTAATACATTTATGTCAGATTTGTTAATTTGGTAGATAGAAAAATGACATGAAGAGGCGGGAGAAGTCTAGACAGACATCAGGTTATTCAATCTGAGATAAAGGAAAACCCTGAAGTGGAACCCTTGTTTATGACCTTCCTGGTCTAGAACTCTATAACAGTTAGGCCATAGGAATACACGCCATTAAAAGCAAGGAGCAGGGGGCCAGCAGATGGTATAGTGGTTAAGGTGCTGGACTCCCACATAGTCGACTGTGGTTCAAGTTCTGGACTCGGCAGCTTGAGACACACATGCGTGCACGCCCAAAATCCTGAGAAGAGAATGGAGGAGAAGGGATTTGCGGTATGACCATCTCCCCAGGAAGGTGATTTCTCACTTTCTCTCTATCTCTCTGGCATGCGCACACACTCTGTAGCAAAAATCTCTTAAAAAAAAAAAAAGCAAATGACAGAACCAGAGGACTTGGCATATCCCAGTGGAACCTCGAATGTGCTGAACCTCCATACAAATCACCAGGTGGTTACACTCAACTGGGTCAAGTTCACTTGTGTGTCAAGATTTGCTTCTAACTGAATCACATCCAAAGAGAGAAACTAAAGGAATTTCCCAGATATGTACCAGTCTAGAGATGTAAAATGTCTCCTTTATACATATGCCCATCACATCCCATAGTGAGCCTTCTTCCCCGTAACTAAAAGTTCTAGTTGTGAAACTGAAGTGTTAACAAATTTAGCTTTGCTCAAGAGCAATCTGGTGTTTCTACTTTTCCTAACATTCCCCTTACAGCGCTCATGTTAGCCTCCTGGTATGCCAAGGAGAGTTCTTACGTTTATAATTTGTTGTTGTTGCTGTGAACATCAGAAACAGTCTCTCTTAAACCGCACTGAAAAATACTAGGCAATCTTGCACTTTGTTTTAGTTGTTGAACTTCCTAATAAAGACAACAGAAAGCTCTGAGAGTTGAAATTTTATAACTAGCAAATGTCACTTCAGGCTTGCTAAATACAGTGAACAAACTTGTCTGCTACAGCAAGCATTCCACCCAAATTGACTAGGTGTGGCTTTTTTTCATTGTACAGTCACACTGAGCAGAATCTGTTCTCTAGCTACCATCACATTTGGGTTGACATTCCCTTTATCTAGGGGCTTATAAGAAGCAAATCATATTCAGTTTTGTAAAGGCAGGTGTGCTTTTCTGGTATCCTAGAAACAGATCAAAGTATGCTTTGTGGAAGGACCTGAAGTTCAAGCCAGTGATACAAATGGGTTTTAATGTAAAACCAGACAGACACCAGGACTGGAAATTTTTCAAACAAAAGCTTGAATATTCTAGGAACATGAATTAGATTATTGTGGGGTAATCATTAAAAGGGGTAGAGAGTTGTTTGGGGGAGAGTTGGTACTAGGGAAATTAAATAAAACTATACATTACTTCTGTAATATCTGGGTCCATAATAAAGAAATTTCTTCCAAATTGGACTGGTAAATCCCACTTTGAATTTCTCATACTAGTGCAATTACCGTATGTATACAAAGTAGCTTTCTAGACCGCAAAAGAGGATCATATCAAACATTTTGGGGTTAGCTTTTTGTACACATACTAACTGCAGAAATTAATCTCTTAGCAGTTTGTCACATCACAGCAGCTACTGTTAAATAACCTACAAGGTAGAGAAGCAATTTCCAATTGTTCCCTGGGTTCTAAGTAATGCCTTGTAATCTTGTGATATGTCATACAATAAATAGTACTCCTGTGAGTCTTATCAGTCATCTTCTGCAATCTGCAATCTGAAATTACTCTCATTGTAGGAAAAAAAAAGGGGAAATGTACTCTATTATAGAAAGCCAGGAGAATCAAATTAGAAAGCACAAGTCAAGAGGCTGGAAAACTCAATGGATTTCTGAATGGATTCTAAAAGACACTACTACCTGTTCTCCAGTGTGAGGCAGCATGGTCAGTAATGCAGGAAAGGTTGAGGCTTGGAATAGAGAGACTCTAGTAAAGACCGAACAAAAGATGCAGAGTGCAATTTCTCCCTTTTCCTCATTTAATCCCATGCTTTGTTCTCTAGTTCCCCACAGCAGGGCATTTATCTGTGCCCTGAAGCTGTCCCTTGACCTTTGAAAAGACATATGTTCCAGCTTTGTAGGAAATGCTGGGCTCAGGTGTTTGATAATAAAATCTGGCTTCTATTCTCTGTTCAGTTTGAAATGAGGACATCCCATGAGAGGATGAGAGTAGTAATGGTGAGTAAAAAGCCCCCTTGGTATAGTCACCTTTGACCAACATCCCTCCTTCCCCACTCCCAGCCCCTGACAAGCACATGCTGAAGTCGTAGAAACTATGTGTGTGTTTCACACACATAAGGGAGATCACGCAGCATTTGCCTTTCTCTTTCAGGCTTATTTCACTTAGCATAACACCCTCCAGGTTTATCCATGTCATCTAATATCACAATGTATACATTTCTCAAATCATCATGTTGTATACCTTAAACAGGTACAATTTCATTTGTCAATCCTACAATAACGCTTGGAAAAAAGTTAAAGCTTATTCTCCATCTGCTCACATTTTTCTGGACTCACCAAACACAGTCACTTCTCAGTGGTTTTTTCAATACTATTCTCAGTCTCTAGAAGGCTTACTCTTCCCTATTTCCTTAGAAGTAGACAGGAACTGATATAATTCAGAGTCTGAACAAGGAGTTCAACCATATAAAGTATTACTGAGGGTCAAAAAAGAACACTGAAGAGCTCACTGGTAACCTTCTGGGAGCTAATTTATCAAAGGTCATTAATCGACACTGAGTTCCAAGGCAAATATTCTCGCCAGACTAATAGTACAGGATATGTAATATATTTCTTTTACTTAAATCTATCTAGATGTTGTGAGGAAAAAATATCGTGGTGCAAATCTTGAGTGACTCATCAATGCACCTCCCACCTCCTTTTGCATTTATCTAAAAAGATGTACTAGTTAAAGGATGCCATGTCAACACAGATCTTAAATTCTGAGAATCAAATGTATGAGACTGGCTTTCCTGAAAGTAGATTGTCCTACTCCCACGTTCTCATTCCATCAGAGCACTATACACATTGTTCAGCATTCAGTGTGTTTATTGCATAGTCACTGATGGAATGGGGAACAAATAAAGGTAACATAACCCTTTCAAATTTACTTTGTTAATGGTTTAGAAGATGTCCCCTGGAATTAGAATGAGACACCACTGAGCTAAATATGAGACCTGAAGTACTGAAGCATAAAAGTAACAATCTTCCATGCCCTCTGAGTGGTGTAGCAGCAGATCATGTTTATATTGTCATCAGAACAAGATGAATTGTCAATAAGAAAGTAAGTATGAACCAATACAGCTTGATTATTTTGAAGGGATCTGTTTAAACTCAGTGCTCCAAAAAAATACAGGCTACTTGTCTAGAATGATACCATGATGCTATTACTTTATGCAAACACTGTACTTGAGAAACTCTGCAGTTAGGCTAAGATAAAACCACCATCAATTACCTGGCCAGCATTCCTCAAGACTGCCAAGGTGATGGAAAATAGGGAAA